ATTGTATCTTATAATATATTTATATATGTATAAATCATCAACTTATAGTGAAATTTAAATTCTTCTCTAGGATGCATACCATATAGTCCGCTATAGGGGCACAACGAATGTGCTTGAATGGAACGACGTCATCTTGCCCTTTCTAAAAAGGGCAAGATTGGATTCGATTAGGCATTTCAATGGAATTAAGGTCGACCGCCAACTCATCACGGCGATGGTAGAGAGATGGCGAAAGGAGACACACTACTTCAATTTTCGTGAAGGCGAGTGCACCATCACACTTAAGTACATTGCCATCCTTACCGATCTCCCCATTGATGGTGATGTTGTTTGTGTGGACTCTACGGCACCACCTAAAGTTGTTGCCAATATGAGTGGTTGGCAACATTTTATATGGACGGTCACCGGGTTGTGTCCGCTAGAAAAGGGAGATCACGATGCGGATGGTAATCCACCATTGTCCAAGGGTCAAGTATCCATCACGTGGTTGACAGCGGAGATCAGGCGTAAGCACAACCCTCAGTTCGGAGGCATTCCCCTCACGGAGGAAAGTTCGGAGCGCGATAAAGACATTTATGCACGTATCTACATCCTCGGCATGATCGGAGGAGTTTTCTTCCCCAAGAAATCCAACAACCTAATCAGCAATTCATGGTTGAAGATCATACTTGGTAGTTGGGATGATATGGGAAACTTGAGCTGGGCATCTGCTTGCCTAGCCCAGCTCTACCGATCCCTATGTAATGCTAGTGCGAGAGCGATGAAGGAGATTGATGGGGCAATTTTCATCGTCCAATTTTGGGCTTGGGAGCATTTGCCATGGATTGCGCCGAAGGTAGACCCCGACAAGGAATGGGGACCCGACCATCCCCTACGACATGAAGCTTATGATTGTAGGTAAATATCTTCTATCCCACTCATAGTTCTCACATTTTTTTTACTAATTTAGTTTTTTGTAACGAAATTTTTTGAAGGTACTAACATTGTGTACTTTTCCATATTAATAGGTGGCTTGGTGAAACAACATGCGACAACCTAGGAGCGCATAAGCTGGAGGAGTATCGTAGGAGGCTTGATCACCTATGGGAAGCAGAGGTGAGCATCATAATACGCTATTAAAACCCTACTTTTTTTAACTTATATTATTATGTTGATTAATGGTTTTATTATTTAAACCTTCGTAGCTTAAGTTCGATCCGTATCCAGAACAGATTGTTGCGCATCACGTCCACAAGTTCCCGTTACATCACGGTCAATGGTGCACCCGAGTTCCACTAATCTGCCACCACATAGTGGAGTGGCACTTGCCGGATCGATGTCTACGACAATTTGGACGTGAGCAATGCATACCATTGGATGTCCCGGAGAGTCAGAAGGGGTACCACGGGAAAGATGGTCGACAAGGACCTACTAATTGGCCGGAGGAGTATAAGCCGTTGATCCGGTTGTGGAATGTTAGGCAAGATCAGGATATTGTGACGGCATCTCATGTGGGGCGGATGGGCTACCATGACCCATACCTGGAAACCTACCGAAGACAATCTGTTCGTTACATGATCCCCGAAGGAGCGGCGGACGGAGCTTTGGTAAGAAACTAATTTTTTATTTGTTTAGTCATGCGGTGCATTATTTTTTAAATGGCTAACTTTGTTATTTTGTTCGATTTAGGTTGATGGCATCGAGCGAATCCACGACCTCGCGCGGACCGCAGATCATTTGGCGGCGGGTCGAGAGGTGGGGATGATTCGAAGGATAGCGAACAATCTCCTTGGCTGTATGTGAGCGCGCGGACGTGACCATAGGCGATACCCTCCAGTTCCCCCAATGAGACCGCCGCCGGTGACGCTTGATGTTGACCCGATGCCTCCGCCGGTCCATAGAAGGCAAAACAAAGCTATGAGGGATCGACCTCACGTGCCGGAGATCAAACCGATTGAGGCGTGGATATGACCCAATGACCGACTCTCTTGCTCTTGATGGCCCGGACCCTAGCTGTGCATCCCTCATTGTGGTTTTTGCATCGAACCATCAGCCTCTTTGTGTCGGAATGGGTTGTCTGCCATTCAAAACTCCGAGTCATTGCTTCAATGGAAATAGCGTGTCGAACCTCATTCTTCGTTGCAAATTGTTGGCCCTTCGAAAAGCCAGTTAGTGGACCCCATACTGGCACATCTGGCGGGTCCATGTCGGCATCAACATACCAATCTTCACTTTGAATGTGATTGTAGTATGGAATAGGTACACGGTCGTGAGGTACCTCATCACCATCTGCGTCTGAATCTGGACTGGAATCATCAGCACCTTCCAGCGGATCAGAGCTGTCTGCACTAACTTCGCCTTCCTCTTCTTCAACCTCAGGGTCACTAACTGGACTTGGATTGACCTCTTCTTCCATCTTATTATCAGCATGAAAGGCACCTTGACCTTCACTAGCTCCGTAATGGTAGTTGTGGTAACTAACACCGCTTTGATAGAAGTTGTACTCGGGTGGGTACTGGTAGCCTGCTTGTTGGTTGTAATCCGCCTGTTGAGCTTCTTCTTCATATGAAGGGATGGATTGATGACTTCCTCCAGTTCCATGATGATACTCCTGACTCCAACTCGAGTCTTGGAAATCCTGGTGGGGATGATCTTCGTATAATACACTCCCACCGTGGATACCAGATGTTTGGCCATCTCCAGAATGACCTACACTGCCTTCGACGGCCTCGGTGTAAACGAACATCTCGCTTGCTTAATTGTATTGGTGGTCAAAAATTGGACCATGGCATCAACGTCCTCCTGAGTGGTAAGGAGGAATTCCTCATACCACAGCGACCCGTCATGTCTGTTTGGATATCGATACACCATTCGATCAACTCTTCTAGTGTCATCCATGCAGGTAATCTGAGTGCACATTTGATGGAGCTCTTCAAGCATCGGTCTCGTACGGACCTTCATTTTATGAAAATTGCCACCGACGTAACTTACACCCTTTTCGGTCTCTTCCGTGTAACCATTCCACCGCAACCCAAGCGTGAACCTTTGGAATGCCATCTGCAATGAAAAGTAACACAAGTTACTAACATAACAACACAAAGAAAAATGAAAAGTAATTCAAATTACTAACATAAAATCACAAATGACAATGAAAAGTAACACAAGTTACTAACATAACATCACAAAGGACAATGAAAAGTAATTCAAATTACTAACATAAAATCACAAATGACAATGAAAAATAACTAAGTTACTAACATAACATCACAAAGGACAATCAAAAGTAATTAAGTTACTAACATAAAATCACAAAGACAATGAAAAGTAATTACGAAACAAACTTACGAATTAACGTTAATCGCAAAAACTAAATAATTTAAAGGTGCAAAGCTGAAATTTGAGGAAGGAAGTGTGAAGAATTGAGTTCTCCGAAACAGCCTTTTATAGGCAAATTTTGCAGCAAAACCGCTTGGGGGGGGGGGGGGAGCGGTTTTATGTCTGCCATGCAGCCCTACCCCTGCATGCCGACATGTCGGGTGTCGGGTGACCAGGCACAAACCGCGCCTCGGGAGAGCGGTTTGTGTCCTGACAATGTAAACCGCCCCTTTATCAGGCGGTTTGTAATGCCGACATTTAAACGCTCCCTCTTAAAGCGTTTTGTGGTAGGGTTAGCCTATAACCGCGCGTCCCAGAAGCGGTTTTCTCTGGAAAATAAAAACGCGTGTCCAAGGAGCGGTTATAAGGGAAAACGCAGCCTAGAGGAGCGGTTTCATTGAAAACCGCTCATCAGAGGCGCGGTTTTATATAAACGATGTTATTTTTGGAAATTATTTGGTGAGGATGGTATTTTTGTAAACTTTTTTTAAAACAGTGGTAGTTTTGGATTTTTCCCCTGTTTTTTTCAACGGTGTTTCTCTTTTTAGTTTTTAGTATTGTCTCCATGGATGATTTCTTTGGAACATTGCTTAAGTGGTCACTAAACTTTGACGGTTCAAAACTTTTTCGCCTGAAGTTTGTCTTTCTTAACAAAATTTCGGAACAACTCGCATCACTCTATTCGTCCTAATTGTAAATGCCGGCATGTTAATTCTTTCAAATTGGCAACGGTAATGAAATATTAACCTAACTAGATAACATGAACGACTAGTTTTAATTCATACTTAAATTCAAATCAAACTCGTCACTCGATCTAACCTCTTCCTCTCTTGCTCGACAACTAATCAGTAATTTGAGAGTCCGCATAACCTTTTTTTTATCAATGATTTGGATGAATTGACAGGTGATTTAGAAGATCTTGGATGAAAACCCAATGTTTTAGAAATTTGATCCTATCGTTCGGTCGGATCAGGAACACTAGATACTGAACCTCAAACCGATAGTTTTAGCAATATGAAACAATTGAGTCACAATTATTGTGCACATGTACGCAGTAACTGTTTTATGATTAAAATTAAGTATGAATAAAGTAATGAAATATCTTTTTGCTTTTAATTTGAGATTGAAGAAAATAAGAACAAACTCAGCAGAAATCAAGGTTGTCAATCCGCGGACTGACCAGAATTGACATGGATCCGGTGAGGAAAACGAGTGGCAGACAACCAACGGGTTGACCCGTGGTAAGGTTCTTAGGCTGTAGGTCATTTTTCTCTTTGGTTTGCAAATTGCGTATCTTTTCTAGTTTTCCTTTCGCCTAATTCTACTTTTGGAATTCTTGTTTGAACATTTGAATATTGATGTTATATGAGTGTGTTTGGATTTTCATTATATGTTGGATTCAAGTATAATTTGTTATTTTGGTGTAATGTTATGTGTTATTATTCATATGTACATGAGATTTGATATAATTTATAAATATATGAACAAAATAATGACATTTAATCAGGACTAAATCGAGACTAACGCAATCAGACCATTAATCTCAACCTTCTTTCTTAATCGGGCCAACGGGCCAAACCAGGTTTACAATGTTGGACGAGACCAATTCCCTCCACTACGGACACGTATATAAAGTTGTTAACTCATCCTCTTCTTCCTCCCAAATGCCACACTATCTCTCTGCTTGCCAAATTTGCCCATTTCTCCACTTCCCATCATCCTGCATTCTGTCTCTTTGCCTTGTTATAACTTGGTAGAACTGAACACAAGCAAATATACGAAGACACCCAAGGATGCAATTGCAGGCAAACCAACTCTTCTGCAACCTTCATTTTCATTCTGCTGTCTTTTCTCCCCCCTTCCATTCTCATTTACACGCCGAAACCTCAACTACTGAAGCTTCCACTCTGTTTTGCGCCTTTTCTTTTCACAGAATACCATTTCCATTGCTTCTCTGCTTGCTGCAACTCTTCTCCTCTCCTTCTCCACTGCTCTTAAGGTAGGTTAAACGAAACGATTCCAAGCCCAGTACAAAAACCCTTCATGGGTTTTGTCTTTCAGGTCTCAAAGATACAAACTTTATGTTCCTTTTTTTCTTTTTTCTTCTGCCTCAGGAAGGCCAAACTTGTGCAGCAGACAGATTCTGCGACTCGGGGCTCCACTGTGAAACCTGTGTGGCTAACGGCAATGTTCGCCCTCGTTGCACCAGAATCCAACCCATAATCCCAACTTCTAAGGTATATCATTGTGCAAGGGAAAAAAAATCCGGTTCATTTCATAATCAAGCCCCCAATTTCCAATTGCTTCCCAAGTATGCAACCTAGGTGTTTGTTCTATTGTCCAGGTGAAGGGATTGCCATTCAATCGGTACACATGGCTTACTACCCACAATTCGTTTGCCATGATGGGGGAGAAGTCCGCAACTGGGTCCATCATTCTAGCTCCCACTAACCAGCAAGACTCCATTACTAGCCAGCTCAATGTAAGCCTGCCTGTTTGTTTTCTCAGAAATTTAGGGGGAAATGTATGTTGGTGGGTTCTGATGATGAAGTGCAGATGTGTCGTGTACTGTTTGTCTTGTGTTGTTGTTGGAGTTGTTTCTTGCTGTCAAGCAAAGTCAGAAGCTTTTTGGATGCTTGAAGATAAATAAAAAAGTGTCACTGTAGGTGGTGGTTTTGTTCATTAAACAAATTATTTGGAGTATGGTTGAAGCTTGAAGGTTACCCTAATTTGGCAACTAGCTGCTTACTTTTTATGCGTGGGACAGCCATCAGCATGGGGTTCATACTTTGATTGATAAATTAATCATGGGTTTCCGTGGAAATTGATTTCATAATTAATGAAATGACTTGTGACTGTGGTTTGCAATTTCTGTGTTGGACTGCTATCCTTAAATGAGTATATTATTATTATCTTTCTTGGTTGCAGATGATGCCTTTTTTAATGATGAACTAATAGAAGTATGGGTAGCTAACCTTTGCAGTGAAGAATTGGAAAGCAAAATATTGCCTGCAAATTGTTAAAGGACCTAACCTTCTAGATAAAAGAAACACAAGCTTTAGCAGCAAAGTTATTCAAAGATTCTTCATTTTCCTACCAAATGATCTAAGTGTTATGTGTGGATACGATTTCCTTGTTCATTTATTTCTCCAGCTTACTTTATTAACGTGTTCTCCACATGTGATCACATTGACAAGGTCTTCCTTGGAGAACATGGGTTTTTCTAAGGTTGCAGGCTGTAATGAATAAATGTTCTGGAGGTTTCTCATTCAAGATTTTGTCGGTTGAAAAATTAAATGGCGATGTCAAATACACACAAACAAGTGTCATAGGCGAGAAATTAATAAAAAGCTCTGTGCTTTATGAGGCGATTGCTGAAGGATTGTTGTCTTTTCATCAGTCGTTCATATTGGAGTTCATTTGGTCTGAACTTTTGTTTTATTATTCCCACAGAATGGGGTGAGAGGTTTGATGCTGGACATGTACGACTTCATGAATGATGTCTGGTTATGCCATTCTTTCGGAGGAAGATGCTTCAATGTGACAGCTTTTGTAAGATGCTTTGATCTTAGAAGTTCGTTCACAACTTCAAGTCTTCAATTGTCTGCAAAAAAAAGTTATGACATTAACCGTGCTTTGTCCTTGATTATGGGGCAGCAACCGGCTGTGAATGTACTCAAGGAGATTCAAGCTTTCCTCGAATCGAACCCCTCTGAGATCATCACCATCTTCATAGAGGACTATGTTACTTCCTCAAACGGACTAACCAAAGTTTTCAATGCTGCTGGCCTGAGGAAGTACTGGTTTCCAGTGACAAAGATGCCCAAAAATGGCGGGGACTGGCCGACGGTTGACGATATGGTAAAGAACAATCAGCGGTTGGTAGTCTTCACTTCCAAGTCAGCCAAGGAAGCCTCGGAAGGGATTGCTTACGAGTGGAGATATGTGGTCGAAAACCAATGTGAGTTTCAGTTGACTAGCTCAAACTGTCTTGCTGTAACATAATCCGCTTTGCATCCTAATGTTTGGAGTGTGATAAGTGAATGAAAATGATGTTACAGATGGGAACGGTGGGATGGTGGCTGGCTCGTGCCCAAACCGGGCAGAATCATCAGCCATGAATACAACAACAAGATCACTGGTGCTAATGAACTACTTCCCTGATAACCCCGACCTCTCGCAGGCTTGTAAGCAGAACTCTGCCCCATTGATGAGCATGACAGACACATGCCATTCGGCAGCAGGCAACCGATGGCCTAACTTCATCACAGTCGATTTCTACAAGGTTGGTATATACATAATACATGCTCGTGTACCATACATCGCTTATTAAGCAAGGAAAAGTAGCCTCACCAGTTGCGCCTCCAACATGAATTTGTGTTCCAGAGAAGCGATGGAGGGGGAGCTCCACAAGCGACGGATGTCACAAATGGGAAGCTTGTTTGCGGGTGTGGGAACATTGATTCTTGCAGGGTACACATCTGTTGGTAATCAGATTCCTGTTTCATCTATGGAATGGTTGAGATTTTGTGAACTCACAATTCGTTGTCGTTTTTTCGGGTAACTTTGGCAGCAAGGCATGGCGTTTGGGGAATGTGAGCTACCAGAGGCTGGTGTAGCTCCAGCACCTGGAGCTGGAGCTGCAGCAAAGGAAACAGCGAGCTCTGCAGGTTTAGGGAAGAGAGCACCATTTTTGCAGGGATGGCGGATGGCTGTGTTGATTCTTGGGTCACTTCATTTCTCTCTGTGGTTTTAGTTCTTAAAAGAGTACAACCAGTGTTCTTGAACTTGTGATGGTTCATTTTGTCTGTTGTAGTGTCTAGGCAGTGGGGAATATTGTCCCTCGCAGATACTTATCTTATGATGATTGTCATTTGTTAATCAACTTGTGGAAAGCAAATGCCTGAATCTAGTGGCGAAGAAGGAGATACAAATGACGAATAGGAATGGCAATGGGCAAGTTCGGGGCGGGTTTCTTGACAATGGGCTGGTCGGGTTCAGGTCGGGTAATTTATCACGGGTCGCTGGTCGGGGCAGGTCGATCAAATGGATATGCAATTTATCGAAAAATATTAGAAATATTCGTTATTTTTATTATAAAACCAAGAAAAAAAACAATATTATGATAAATGTAGTTAAATTATTGGAGAAATTGAGGTTTTCACTAATTCCACAACTTTATTATAGCTAAAATATGATGCAATAAAAGAAAATTTCTAAGTAATTTGATTAAGATTAAATGTAATTTAGGCATGAACGGGTCGAGAATGGGACGGGTCAGGACAGGTCGGGTCGATGAAAGTACCCATACCCGCCCCGTCCCGCTTACGGGACGAGTCAGACCCTTCCAAAACAGGCCAAACAGATCAGGTAAAACGGGTCAGGTCGAAATTGTCATCCCTAATGACAAACTTAGCAAGGTTGATCAAACAGCTGAAAATACGACATCGTATTTGCCTTGAGCATTGGGCAAGAGCGAACGAATGGGCCTTGAGCCCAATATTTGCGAATGAATAAAAGATAATATGTTGCCCACCAAACCCATAATCTGGATTCTGGAATGAGTCCGTTATTTGAGTTAGCTATGCCCCTCTTCATTTGTTGGACCAACTTGTTGCTGAATATTTGTGTTTGGCCTTGAGTCACAAGTTGGTCATTGATAGAGTTTGGCTAGTGACTCTAAAAATATAGAATGGAAAAGTGGTAACGTATACGAGATAAATTGTCGGTTTGGTAAGTGTTATGATAACGACGGGTGATATAATCGATTTATGCCATATTGCCGTTTATATTGGTTTCAGCAAAAACATGTAGGAAAGCACAAAATGAATTTAGATATATTATATATAACAGATTTGAATACAATCTCTCTAAAATCTATATTCATATTTAAATAAAATATAATATTCCAAACAATATGAAAAATGCTCATATTTAAATGTAATATTTAACTCCAACATTCAAAAGTTTATAATTGAACCCAACAAATGACATAAACATCAAAACATTCATACTTGAATCCAACAAATAACGCCCACATTCAACTTTCATTCCGGTCATACCGAGGACACTCTCCAGCCAGTACGTAACCCGTACCAATCAAATCTAGTTGTACCGGCTGACATGCCAACTAACTATGCTTGTACCCGATCCCCGTTGGCAGGGTTGTGAAAATATTGTGTATCTTTCTATAGTTGTTCGGATTCGAATAGCTGATGAAGCATATTATCTAATCCGAATCTCCACGCATCGGTTGGTTTATGACACATAGCGCGTGGAGTTTCGGACTCTCACCGTACCATCACTGTCACAGCCTAAAACAGTAGCCCTTCCAAACCAGAGATGATGAATCGACACAGATACCGGTTTCATCGGTAGTGACGGCCACCAACTCTCCGGTCCCATGTTGCAGAATTTGCTAGCTCGGTTTGACCTAACCCAATTCCAATCTGAATCGCTAAATGTCGCCCTAAGAATTGCTAAACATCGCCCTAACTTAAAAATCAAATTACCTAAATACCCTTAATGAAAATTAGAAAATAGAACCAACCAAACAGCCCTTCCCCTTCCCCTTCCCCCTCTTCCCACGCGACCCCTCCCCTCTCTGCAACTCCCTTCCCCCACCTCCCGCCGTCGGCCGGTCCTGCTCCCGTCGCCGCCCCCCCGCCAGCCTCGCCGCCCCCCGCCGCCAGCCTCGCCGCGCCCCCGCCAGCCTCGCCGCGCCCCTGCTCCCGTCGTTGCCGGAGAAGAAGGCCGCGCCCCCGCCAGCCTCGCCGCCTCCCTTGCCAGTGCCAGCCTCGCCGGCCGCGCTTCGACGCCAGCCCGTCGCCGCCAACCCTGCCTCGCCGGAGAAGAAGGTAAGGAAAAAAAAAAAAAAAAGTTGCCCGAACCGCGGTCAACGCGCGGTCAGACCCGACGGTCAACCGCGGTCAACGCGCGGTCTGACCGGCGGTCAACCGCGGTCAACGCGCGGTCCGACCAGCGGCTGACCGCGGTCAAAGGGCGGTTGACCATTGGTCAAAACGCGCTTTGACCGCGGTCAGCCGCTGGTCGGACCGCGCGTTGACCGCGGTTGACCGCCGGTCAGACCGCGCGTTGACCGCGGTTCGGGGCTTTTTTTTTAAATTCTGTTTTTAAAATTCTGTGTTTTATTATTCGTTAAATAAATGTTAATAATAATAAAAAAATAAAAAAAAATTAGTTATATTATTGATAAATACTAATTTAGTTATAATGATAATTAATAATAACGTATTCTATAAATGTTAATTTAGTTATAATATTAATTTAGTTATAATTTAGTTATATGATATAAAAAAATTTAAAATCGTATTCGATAATTGTTAATTAAAGATAACAAATTTAAAGAACATTATAAAAAAATTAAAAATGTGTTTTTATCATTTTAATAATCAAAATTTCAAAGTAATTCGTTTATCTACTTAATTATTAATAATTTTACCTTGATTAAAAAGTAAATAATTATTACATAGAACGTAACATAAATGTTAAAACTATTAGTTTTATAATTTTAATTATGAAAATCTTAAATTAATTACTTTATGTACTCCATTATTAATAATTCAAACTTTTTTTTGAAGATGTCTGGACATGGAATGGGTAAACCGGATATGATTAAGGCGAGAAATAAGGAGAGAATGGAGGGTCGTGCTTGTAGACTTACGGCGACTGGTAGGAAGGAAAATGAAGAAAAAAATCCACCTAAGGTTAGAAGGAAGAAGAAGGCGGATGTAGTGCGTCCTGACGGCCACCCTACTGTGGGGCAGTTGTCTCTTAGTCGAGGCACTACTAGTACTCCTACACCAGATACCGCACCGGTATGGCAGGCTAATTGGAGTGATTCCATTGACGAGGATGATGATGATGACGGTGATGCTGAGGTTGGGAATGCCCCAGATGCTGGTGCTGCTGCTGGTGATGCTGCTGTTGATGGTGCTGGTGATGCTGAGGCTGGGGATGCCCCACCTCAAGCTGATTTAGGCGTGGGGAAGACGGCACGGGTCGGGGTATCTTCTACTGCCTCCTCCCACTTCCGTGGGCCCGATGGACGCTATGCGTCCAGACCTAGTAGCGAGGATGGCGGAGATGGAAATAGGAAGAGGAAGACCACGAGGAAAGATATGTCGTGGTTTCTTACAGCCGAGTCTCCGATGTGTTCAGGTGGACCAGTGATTCCCGATGTGATCCCTAGCTTTGGAGGTCACATTGGCTTGGTACTGTGGAATTCCCCTGAGCAGGACCGTGGAGTGTTGGACGGCTTTCATAGGCCGAGAGCTGTAGAGACTTTGAGGCGATATAAGTGGAGTGCAGAGGGTTCCAAGGAGATGGTTGAAGCCACAGGATTGTCTCACTTGACAGGGTGCATGATGCAGCATTTAGACATGGCTCTACTGTCGGCATTTGTGGAGAGGTGGCAGCCGGACACAAACACCTTCCACATGCCGTTTGGAGAGATTTCGATCCTTCTACACGATGTGCATCACATTCTTCGGATACCGGTTGACGGACAGCTGATGGGAGATGAGGCATCGCAGGATACTCTTAAGTCAGACATGGGTGGTCTAGTTCGACTTCCGGTGGATGCTCAGGTTGGTGGTAAGTGGAAGTCTAAGTGGTACGATAATGGTGCTATGCATGCAGAGGGATTGTTGGTGCGTGGGGGAGAACTGAAGATTAAGGAGATGGAGGTGCAGTGTTACCTGTTTGTGTTACTGGGATCCACGCTTTTTGTGGATAAGAGTCGTGATCGCCTTCGTCCTGCGATCAACTTGTTTCTGAAGGATCATCGACGATTGGCTGATTACGCTTGGGGAGCTGGTGCACTAGCCTATCTCTACAGACAGTTGGGAGTGGCCACACGAGCGGGTAGTAAGGGTCTTTGTGGTTACACTATATGAAGAACATAATAGAATAAATTAATACAAAGAGTTACACTATATGTTTACCCGAAATTAGAAATATAATTTCTAACCTGTATCATTATGGATCGACTCCGTCTCATCCTCGAAGTTGGTTTGTGCATTCACATTCGGGGCACCACCTATCTCATTTAAAAAAAATAGATTAGTTGTACACCATATTGAGGACAATTGAACACAACTAAAAGAAAAAGTTAATCTTAATTTTCTAGATTAACACCAAATTAAATCTAATCTTAATTTAAGGCCAAATCTAATCTTAATTTCTAATGCTAAATCCTTCAATTCCAAAAATCTAATCAAAACCCAATAAATCTAATAAATTATATTAATCTTAATTTGTAATGCAAAATCTAATCTTAATTTTCTAGATTAACACCAAATTAAATCTAATCTTAATTTAAGGCCAAATCTAATCTTAATTTCTAATGCTAAATCCTTCAATTCCAAAAATCTAATCTTAATTTCTAATGCTAAATCCTTCAATTCCAAAAATAATTATGCAAATAAATCTAATAAATTATATAAATCAAAACCCAACAAATTATTTCATGGAACAATCATAAATCATATAAAAAATAAAAAATTATTCAACGGAAAAAAAAAAAACCAAAAAATGCCCAACCGCAAGTGACCTGCGGTTTGACCATGGTCGGACCGCAAATCACCTGCGGTTGAGCCATTGGTGGACCGCAATTGACCTGCGGTTGGACCATGGCTGAACCGCAGGTGATTTGCGGTCCGACCATGGTCCAACCGCAGGTCAATTGCGGTCCACCAATGGCTCAACCGCAGGTGATTTGCGGTCCGACCATGGTCCAACCGCAGGTCACTTGCGGTTGGACCATGGTCGGACCGCAAATCACCCGCAGTTCCCAATTTCTGTGTTTTTTTTTTTTTGGTTCATGTTCTTACCTCGTCGGAGTCGCTACTCATGATTCAGACGTCCTATCGACGATATCGGCTTCAAAATGACGATGAGAGATTTTTCTCTCCTTAGAGAGTGTTTTTTTAGTCCAAGTGATGTTTGTTTGAGGAAGGGAAGGTAAAGAAGCTATGGGGGTTAAAAGTGTAACTTTTATTCTTTTTAGGGCGACCTTTAGCAATTTTAAGGGCGACCTTTAGCAACTCCCATTCCAATTGGCCATTCAACCTCACCACCGCCCAACCAGCACTCAGGCGAAAACAGAGTACTGTTGGCCAACAGCCCCCACCACCCACCAAACGTTACTACCAAAAAATGTGATCCCAATAACGTATATTAGCACACAATGCCGTAACCACCGATATATCTTGGTAGAATCGAGAACAACATTTTTGTGAAGGGATGGCGGGCGGTTTCTCGTCATTTACGTCCCGACGATCAACATTAGTAATGTGGTATGGAAAGCACATAGCGTAAAATTAGTAAAGAGAAAATGATATCTCCAGACTCCAAGAGTGAAGATATTGATTATGTGGAATGGAAAAGAATACATAACACGAGATTTTACGTGCTATCCTCGATCGATCGATTGATCGAGACTAATCCACGGTGAGCTCGAAAGAGCTCACAGCTAACGTTTTATTAAACGACTACATTGTGACGGCTTGCTTACGACAATTTCGTAACTAAGCTTATATAGATAGACGTAGGGTTAAAACCCTAATGACAACCAAGTTTCCTTCTTTAACAAGGACAAGGAAACAAAGAACTTGGAGGACAAGGAATTAATTATTTTTGACTAAATAATTAATATCCTCAACAAAGAGGAGAGACTTTGTATTCAAAATGCCTAGTGGCTTATTTCTAGGCAAATGGTTGTCTTATCCTTTTGAGTTAGGATGTGCAACGAGTTGATCCAAAACGGACGATGCCGAATCAAATTGACGTTTCGACAAGATCAAATCGAACTGAATATGATATGGTCCGACCCTTGGTCTTATGAATTTTAAAAAATACAGAAGAAAATTTGTTCGAATTTACATTTGGATCTGACCAAAACGGATTCCTTGATCCTTAAAATGTCTTCCACTATTGGACACACTCTTACTCTTGGGCTTTAGTGGGATTTTGGACCTTAATGGGTTTTTTTACGTATTTAGTAAGACATTTACTAGATTAAGGGGTCGTTTGGAAGTTGCGATAGTTTTGTTGAGATTGTCATTATGCATGTATTGTTTACAATGCATTGTTTTCTTTTTTTGTTTTTTCAGCAGAAACAATACATGGATTGTTTTTGTGATGTGATAGAAACTATCACTCATTTTGAGTGATTGTTATATCTCAACTTTTAGTTGTGATTGTTGAGATAGTTGAGTTGAGATTGTTTTGTCTCAGCTTTTAGCTGATGCGACATACACAATAACACATATCAAACGTTGTATTCTACAATGTATCAAATTCGACAATACATGTATAATATTATACATGCATTCTCAACAATACATCTATTTAACAATCGCAACTTCCAAACGAAACCTAATAAACAATTGAGTAGCCAAAGATGCGGGTTTGATTACAATCCTAATTGTGACCCAACAACTCCTTTGTGCGTTTTGGATCAATGGTCAACCGTCATTTTTCTTTTCTTTTGGACTCCACACTCCATATGGCTTATAGTAGTTGAGGTCAAAGTAGTGGTTCTAAAAAAAAGTTAAAAAAAATGGAGAATAACGAGTTAGGACCCAACTCCCAAGTCTGGTCTGCCTGCTACGAAATAACACGGAAAGCCAAATCCACCAACCATTTACCAAAGATTCCTAACCCCGTGGGCCCCGCTTCCCACCCAGCACGGCCCCCGAAAAGACCTCACCAACTCCCGACCGGGTTTCACCCCCGGTCCAACCCACCGACCTAACCTAACCTAACCGCATACCGATTCAAAAAAAAAAAAGTCCCCTCTCTCCACTATATAAGCACCTCACTTTCCCAACATTTCCCAAACAGCTTCTCATCTCATTTCCGCAATTCCAAATTTCCAATTCTAACTCCAAAACCTCCATCCAAAGCAAAAAACTCGAATCAATGGCGGAAGAGAAGCAGACCACCACCACCGTCAGCCGCCACTCCGAAGTCGGCCACAAGAGTCTCCTCCAGAGCGACGCCCTCTACCAGGTTCGAATTAATTTCTCCCGAGTTCAAAATTCAAATCACTGCTGAACAATCCACTGATTTCTCTCCCTGTTTTCTCGCCTATCATTGCAGTACATTCTGGAGACGAGCGTTTACCCTAGGGAGCCGGAAGCCATGAAGGAGCTGAGGGACATCACCGCCAAGCATCCGTGGAATCTGATGACGACCTCCGCCGACGAGGGCCAGTTCCTCGCCATGCTGCTGAAGCTGATCAACGCCAAGAACACCATGGAGATCGGCGTCTACACCGGATACTCCCTCCTCGCCACCGCCCTCGCTCTTCCGGAAGACGGCAAGGTCGCTCGATCTTTCCCGATCCCTAGCTGTAGTTTCGTTTTTTCAGTGAATCGAATTGAAATTGTAGCGGTGTGTTTGACAAATTGATTGCTGCTATTACAGATCTTGGCGATGGACATCAACAGGGAGAACTACGAGCTCGGGCTGCCGGTGATCGAGAAAGCCGGCGTTGCTCACAAGATCGAGTTCAGAGAAGGCCCTGCCCTCCCTGTTCTTGACCAGATGCTTGAAGACGTAAGTTATCCATTCCGTCCCTTTTTCCCCCCTAATTAGAAACTTCTCTTCCAACACGGAAATCGTATCAGAATACGTGGTATACGATCTATAATTGAATCTTTTCGGCGATAACTTCTAAGAACGAGGGCGACTCTACTTTCATCTCTGTCGAAATCTCTAGATTATAATCTTTTCAAAATAACTCGACTTATTGAGACCGATTAGTTCTTGTTAACCATCGCCGGCTTCTGGCGATAACTTCGAGGACGACTCTGTTTACAAATCGGTCGAAATCTCTAAATTAAAATCTTTTTCGAATAACTCAAATTATTGAGACCGATTGATTCTTTCTTAATCATTGTTTAGCGACTCTGTTTTCCAACTCTGTCAAAAATCTCTAGATTCAAAACTGAAAGATACTGATCGGTGATTTTCTTGTGTGGCCGCCGACCTTGCAGAAAGCCTGCCATGGGAGCTACGACTTCATCTTCGTGGACGCGGACAAGGACAACTACATCAACTACCACAAGAGGCTGATCGACCTGGTGAAGGTCGGCGGGGTGATCGGATACGACAACACGCTGTGGAACGGATCGGTGGCGGAGCCGGCGGACGCGCCGATGAGGAAGTACGTCAGGTACTACAGGGACTTCGTGATGGAGCTGAACAAGGCACTCGCCGCCGACCCGAGGATCGAGATCTGCATGCTCCCCGTCGGCGACGGAATCACTCTCTGCCGCCGGATCAGCTAAACATGCATCTCCGCCGGCGTTTCGATCGGTCTCCTGTAATTTCCCCCATTCCATTAGTCCAACGAGTGGCCGTGGAATTATTGCTTCATTTCGCCCTTTTGCGTTTCCTTTTTTTTTTTTTTTTTTTTTTTTCTTTCGCTTTTCATGTTTCCTGCCTGCTCTGCTCTGTATTATTCGAATAACTCGGAAATATATTATATATATGTTATTCTTGACTATCTATGAATTAATTGAAAATTATATGCCTTAATCATGGAAGTAGTGATTAGTGAATAACTAAATGCGCGAATCAGGGACGCGTACGACACCGCATTTGTCCAACCTGTATTTAAAGAAAGTGGGCGTTGAAAACTTGGGGAGAAGATCATCACACACACGCATATTATTGCGGTGTCGACATCAATTCTGTCGTTATCTAAAAATCGGTCACAACCGGTGGCTATTGTTAAATTATTATTATAATTAATTATCTTTCAAAAAAGATATCGCCTTGTTATTAACAAAAAGATATCGAGAGAGATTGTGAGGAGGCATCATCATGTGTATTATAATTATGGTTTAAGGAGGTGGGGGGGGGGGGGGGGGGGGCTTAATTTTGTGTTTAGGCTCGTCTGGGTGTTGGGAAATGACAAAGAGTCTTGTTTAGAGATCTCACGATTGATGTAGTAAAAAATACGATTTTACTAAGGAGTGTTTTGGTGATCTAAAAGTGTAAAAGCGCAAGCTTTTAAACTTTACAGTGCAGATTTTGATTACGTTAGTAAATGAACAACGTGATTCTACATAGAATCATAAAAACTTGGCGTTTTAAGTTTTAAAAACGCGATTTTACTACGTTGTTTATGATTAAGTTAGGTATCGAGAATGCGGGTGTGATCTAGATGTGACTAGGAGGTGCTAGATGACCAAATTCAGAAGGAAAAAATCAAATCGTATCCGGAAACTCAATTTTTTCAATAACTCGAGAAATTTATGAGCTATTGAAGCAATGATTCTCTAATCTTATGAGCTATTTATTTTATTATTGTTATTTAATTATTAATTAATAATCATTGGAACTAAACTACGTTGTAAACTACCAAATTCATTCATCATACAATACAACCCGTTATTTTTTGCTTGGCTTCATTATTATAATTTTATTATACTATTAAAAGACAAAATACATGATAGAATGAGGAATGGGAGTAATAAGGCTGTCCATTGGAAAATATTAATTAGTTGGATTAGTGGTTAAAGACAATTTGTCATGTTTGGTGGGCTTCCTTCACCTACCACTCCCCCACTACCCTCTTCCACCAACCCTTTTTCTGAGCTCCTTACCATTATACTACACATTCATATATCCAAACAAAAATTGTGGGTTCTCTTTTGTGTCCTCCTCCTTGTATAATGTGGTGTCATATTCTCATGATGTGCCTGAGAAGCTCAGATCATGTCCACCATAACACATGGTTGGTGGGTGGGTTGCCAAGTTGCGAGTCATCGGAATGATCCACACTCCGTAAAGTCCGTAGTGAGCACTGACTTCTAAAAAGCAAAAAAAGAAAAGAATATGTTTGAACTGCTATGATTGGTTACTATGTTATGTAATCGGTTTGTTGTATATTAAAATGAGAACTATAAGCTACTAGTTGTTAAAAGTTTGAAAAAAGAATGTGAACTTTCTCTACACAATCGATTGGTGGAGTATTGAAAGATTTTTATGTAAGTACCAGATGGATTCGATGAAGAGGAAGTGAGAGGTGTGTAAATTGGTAGAATCTTACTATTTTTGCTAGGAATTGATTATAAATGTTTGTAAACATGCCTAATAGTTTGTTGGAGAACTGCGTTCCACAACTCAACAATGCCAATTCACTGCCCACCCAACCCAACCCAACCCAACTCAACCCAGAAAAGAGTGTGAATGATATACATGTCGCAAATGTACCAACTCATTAGTAAATACATAAATCAGTTTAGTAAAAAACTCACCCTACCTGTCAATTACCCACCCTAATTGACACCCAATCGTTGTTATTAAATTTTAGTTGGCGAGTTACTACTGAGAGAACCATTGGTACAAAAGATTCTTCAAGCAGGCCCAAGGCCCATTATGACAGGACCGAAGGAAAAGCCCAATCTAGCGCAGATCTCGGGTAAGGGATATGACGGTCCCGGTGACGATTTGGGCTGCGATTGTATCATTGTCCAAATCTTGAGTTTCTTATGCCGAGGCCAAACCGTGGATCCAAAGTTCCAAATCAAAATGCCTAAAATCCGGAATTTTGGAAATTATTACGTATAATTGATTTGAGATTATATGTATAAACTAAAAAACGTATATAAAATCAAGTGACTTGCATATAAGGAGCAAGAAATGTTGCTTACTCCATCGGAAGTGTTCTCCTAATCTGCCCTCAGTGCCCTGTGACAAGCTTATTTATATAAAATAAAAGAAAACGTGATCGTATAAATGTATTCGAAAATAGTCATTGATGTGAAATGGAGATCCCTTCCTCGCCCCAAACAAATAAGGCATATAAGAAAACTCCAACAACGTGAGACCAAGTATTGAGTAGGCCACGCCCTAGTAAACTCTCTCTCCCTCGATACAATGAATAACTCAGTCATAATGATGAGACTCGACTTATCAATCTAAACACTCGGAAAAAAACTAATTCTCATTTCGTATATTCGAAACTATCCCTTAACAAAAAGAGGGAGGACAAAAGTCCTCCATCAGCCCTCCTTCATGTTAATTGATTTGGATCGTCAAGTAACATCAACTCCTTGCTCTCTCGTGCACTCATCAACTATGTCCCAACATCATAACCTTATGGCTAACAAAGCAACCACTTAGTCTCCATCAAACCTATAATTATTTACTACCTCATTAACTCCTTGCTCCCTTCAGTCTTTATCTCCTCTGCTCTGGATGTTTATATGTAGAGATTGTGCACGATAGATATATAATTTCAGTATTCCAATCACAAAATCGATGCTACTTTGTGTCTTTTAATTGTAGGGGTTTACAGTGAAGGAAATTAGCGAGGGGAATAAATCTAACCCGAAAAGTAATTGTTTGTTTGAAATTCGAGAGTTCGTCACATTGCGAAACAAAAAAAAAATTGCAAAACCGCCAGAGTGCCTCTGCCACCGGCCAACGATTCCGACGAGCCCCTGAGCCCCGCCGGCCGGATGGTCCTGCAGCCGGAGCTGGACACCGTCATCCACTGCGCCATCGGAGTACACAACCGCCTCGACGTCGATGCTGTCCGAGAAATCGTCAGAAACTCCCTGTTGCCGAAGCACCCACGGTTTGCAGCCTCTTGGTGCGGGTGGAAGGACCATAATTTTAGGGAATATTAATCCAATTGCCCCCAACATCAGAAGGGAAACTGGCGTAGCACCATTCGCACCGACGATCGCTTCAGCCGACGAACCCACAACGTCTTCTCTAGCCGCGTTTCGTACTTCACTCGCCGGCGGAGTCCACCCTCTCCATCTCTCTATCTCCTTGTCTACCCATCACTACCCTCCCTCTGTTCCATCTCTCTCTCACTCTATCGCGGTGAGGATCTATCGTCGGTGCAACGGCGAGGAAGAGCCGCCGAATGATTCCAGATCTGACGTACGACCACACCGATACCAATCCAACCAAACATATATACCAATAAAGATATGCCTACATCATTGTGGAATCGTATAGATTGAATAAACATAATGGTATAAGTAATGTGACTACGTTACTGGAATGGTATTGATTTTAGACTAAAATGTTATGGTATCAAGTATGTAATGGTATATGAACTTTGACAGTTCAGATGGAATGGTATATGTATGTAACAGATTAGTTATCCAATCTGTAATGGCTGCGTTTCGTTTCTAGTTTCTCCCACTCCGACGGAACACGACGACCGACAACATTGATTTTAGCTCCTCCAACGTTCCCCACCACAGTCGACATTGATTATAGTTTGCTTCTGCAGGTAATTTGCTTTGGTAGCTACCTTGTATTTGTTTTGGTACTGTTCGCATTATGCTTTGGTAGTGTTTGCATTATGCATTAGTAGTTACCTGCATTTTCTTTGGTAGTGTCTGCATCACGTTTTGGTAGTTACATGCATTTGCTTTGGTTAGAAGGAGTATTATGCTTTGGTAGTTATCTTCATTTGGTTTGGTAGTGTTTCCATTGTGCTTTGGTAGTATTTGTATTGCGTAACTTTAAATATGCTTGCTTTTGACATTCATACAGGTGACACCGGGAGAGAGAGAGAGAGAGAGAGTTGGTAGGCGGGTTGGGGGGGGGGGAGGGTGAGTGGAGGTGGAGGTAGTGGGAGGGGAGGGCGGGGAGGCGGCACGGCAGCCGGCGGGAGAGAGGGGCGTGGAGGGTGAGGGGAGATAGTGGGTGGCCGGCAAGAGAGGACAGGGAATCTTCTTATAATTAGTTTGCATAATTATAGCTCTCTAATTATCTGCGTAATTAAAATGGTAGTTTGAATTATAATAATAGCAAAAGGTCAAATTGCAAGTTTGGTCACTAGAATTACTTGAAAATTTTACGTTTGCCACTAAAATTAGTTTATTCCATCCGTAGTCACTTAAATTAGGTTAACTGTTCAAGTTTGGTCACTGGCCGTTAGTCTCCGTTAACTTTTGCTGATGTGGCGGTCAACTGTTATAGTTGACCGTTAAATGAGTGACATGGCAATTAAAAAAATTATTATTATTTTCCACTATGAGACGGTCGTTGCCATTCCTCTCCCCTCCAGTCGCTGCAGGTACAAGTTCTCGATCGAGGTTCTCCGACAAGTAACCGACGACTTCAACGAAGGCAACATCTCGGCCAAGGAGGGTTCGGAATGGTCTATAAAGGGGAGCTTCACGACAGTAACTAAAATTGCTGTGAATAGGATGGAACTATTGAATGAATGATTGAATGATAGTTCCATCCTCTTCACAGCAATGGGTACCGAACGATTGAATGAGTTTCGGGCGGTGACGGAGAAGGGAGTAGCAACAACGACGGCGGGGACAATAACAACCATAACAACAACAATAACTCGTCCTCGCATTCCGACGAAGACATGGGTCCAGCTCGACGTCGTCACTATTAGAGAAATAAAATAATTTCTATTTATTTATTTATTTATTTATTTATTTATTTCCTCTGTTAATTCCGTGTATAGAGTTTTGTTAGTTACAAACGCTCTTCTGTTAGCTACAATCTCTCCTCCTCTCTAGCATCCCACTTCTCACGATCTACCAGATGTATTAATGTATATATTTCTTAGTTAGTTGTTCTCAATACAATATTCAGAAAACCTTTCCTGCATTTTGTCTTTCAGTCACCTGATTTGAAGAAC